ATTTAAAAGAGAAATATAGGTCAAAATAACGCTTTTAATATTTAATAAAGTTAAATAATTCTTTCTGTAATACCTCAAAATAATAACTATAAACCGTCAATATCGCGAACAGTAACAAAAAGTCAATTTGATGTCAGAAGATAAACATCAACAACTCTCAGCTCGTGCCATATATCTATATCCGAAATTACAATGGATGAACGTGCAATAAATTCAAAAACTTTTAGTTTTAGTTTCTGTGCATATAATTGTCAAATTATTAAATCAAGCACCTGCTATACCTTAATTAACTCGTTCGATATAATTTTTATATCATAGCATTGGCTTTCAAATGCTAAGCGTTTTATTTTAAATGATCAATTGTTTTTTCATTCTGCCAAAAAAAAAGAATACAGAAGACTTTTTTGGGGGAAATACTTTATTGATTCGTAAATATTTATTGCTGACTCTTCAAGTAATACACGAAGATGAACAAGTTCTTGCAATAAAAGGTTCATATGGCAACAGTGTTTTTATTTTTATTGGAATTTACCTTACTTCATGCAGAAATGCTTTTGAATCTTTAGAAAAATATATGCCTCAACTTAGTTGGATTAGCTCCATCAACGGAATACCTATTAACATCCATAATTGTTCCAACAGTAAAATCCTATAAAAAAATCTCTTAATAATCCCGATAACTATTGCGGAATTAATATCATGCCTATTTTGACAAAGGTCTTTGAATACTATTATAGAAAAATGTCTGTAAATATCAGATAGTCACTCTCGTCTATTTGGTTTCAAGCTCCACTCTTTTTCATGCAGAGTTTTTTTAGTGAAACAATAAAATAATGCAATAACAATAACTCTTAAAAAATTATTTGTAGTTTTGATGCAAATAAGGCTTTTGATAGCTGTAACTGAGATTTGTTATTTAAAAAACTTTATTACAAAAAAAAGTTACCCCTGTCAGTAGTTTGCGCACTACAATCACTATACTTATCGGGTATTGCTCACTATATTTATCAGTTACTCGGGTATATATCATACCTTGGGCATAAATCAATTATTTCCGTTTGTCTCAAGGTGTGCGACACAGATCAATTTTATTTCCACATTTATATAATATATACACTCAAAGTATATTAATCAAATTGTTTCAGATTACAAAGTTTGAACAACAGTAAGTGGTGTATACACTTGTATTATTTCTGCAGGCGATATAATTCTACTCTTTCTGGTTCATAAGAATTGGTTAGTTAATTTTAGTCACAATTTTATTATAGAGTTTATTATATCCTGTAAAAGTTCAATTGCAAAAAAAAACAATTCAAATAAACGGCTTTGCCCTATACCTCAATAATAAACTAAAACACCTCGAATTCCTTTGGGATAACCAAAATCATACACAAAATAAAGCTATTCTTCAAACAACAAATGTAAACGAACTTATTATTCAGTTTTAATCAATCTTCAGAGCTCTTATTAAATCTGGTGTTCGTTTTAGTCAACCATTAACTATATTAGATTTTTTCAAATCTCGGGCTGTACTGTATCCACCATACAGCTTAGAAATTTGTTGTTATAATAATTCACTTCTTAATAAATGAGAGGCTGTTGGAAGGTCAGCATTAAAAAATCCCTTTAATATATCAAAGTACAACAAAAACTACCTGCATCCAGGGCCGGCGCGAGTAAGTGTCATGTGGGGGATGGGGGGCTATTACAACTTTTAACGACTAAAAAAAAATAAAAAGGTCTTCGTTTTTTAAAATTTGCCAAGTGCCATATTGACATTTGTCGACTGACTGTCTAAATGTAACGACTAACTTGTCGAAAGGGTCTACATTTGCCGTCTAACTAGTCAAAAAGGGTCAAATTTGCCGACTAAATAAACAAAAAAATCATTGATGGGGGTGTCACACCCCCCACCGTACGGCCTTGCCTGCATCCCTTCTTTAAAATGATGACATATTTACCATCTTCATTCAAAACAAGATAAATTTGTTCATCAGACTACTGAACAATCTGACTTGTTTTTTATGGATTTTGACTCAGATATCTGATGTTACTAAAGATAACCTATTTATCAACAAAGTAATAAAAATTTGCAATCAACTTGAGCTGAACTTCGTCCAGTGTTTGATAGAGGGGAAAAAATTGTGATTAAGCGTCGCTACGATGACTTAAAAGACCATATAGCGGCAATTAGCAAACAATATAGCGGAATATCAGAAAACAAAGGCTAACACTTACAAATTTGATGGAAGAAAATATTCTAAGAAGAAGTTAAGTTAGACTTTAGACTAAAAAGTACAAATTATTATTTTTTTTTTTGACGAATGACGAATCGAAATAAAATAAATTTTACTTAGGGTGGACGTTTTTTTCAGGCACCCCTCTTTAGTAAGTCCGTAAAAAAGATTTCTTACACAAGATCAGTTATATTGAAAACAAAGCCTAAAACCCAGTGTCGGAGATACATCCTTTTATGTTGGCAAACTAGGATCTTTAGTTA